TTTGTTTACACGGACACCGGAAATCGTGAAGGACCGGGTAATACGGCGCCACCTGGACAGGACCGATAACTCGCTATTCTTTGCCATTGGTATGCATACACCACTAATTAAGCTCCTTTTAATGACACCACGGTCAGTGACCTTTTGACCTTGACTGTGACCTATATGCTAAAAATAGATTTTTGTCTGCAACCTTCATCATAACTTTTGACCCGTGAGAGATAGAAAATTTCTGCTTGGTATGAGTACTTCGTTTATTAAGATCTTTCAAATGACATCATTATCAATGATCTTTTGACCTTGACTGTGACCTTTACTCTAATTTTTTTTCTGCAAACTTTAACCTTCGCCATATGTTTTGAACCATGAAAGATAGAGACTTCATATTGGGTATGCGTACTTCACTACTTAAGATCTTTCAAATAAGACCAATGACATTGTGAAATTGACTGTGACTTATATGCTTAAGAACCCTCTCTACACTGCACACTAAATAGTACTAATTCTAATGTATTTTTTTTGGACGTAGAGTGATCTGCCCTTAGATCATCTAAATTCTAAAAAATTGAAATTTACACAATATTACTCAATTTGTTATCAATTCAAAAATTCTCAATATTCTAAAAGACCAAAGAAAATAACTCAATGTGTCTTTTACCTGTATTTTCTCTATTGAAATAATTAGTGATATCTATTAACTGATACTGTGTTGTCTTTGAACATTTTTGCGGGGGTAAATGTAACGCACCGTACATTGACAATTAAATAAATAAGCTCAGTATTAACACCTTTATATAATATATTATTCTCGATGTCCTAAAAGAATTATGCACTTGTGTAGAGAGGGTCCTTAAAAAGCTTTATGAACATTCGCCATAACATTTGAACCACTGGAGGTAAAAACTTCATATTTAGCACGCATACTCCGCTAATTAAGTTCTTTAAAAGTACCAACGTGAATGACCTTGTAACATTGACTGCGACCTATATGCTAAAATTGGCTTTTTCTAACTTTGTTGCCACATGGCGCTTAGTGTATCAAAAACACGTCTTGTTGTATCATAAGTATATGTCCTTTTGATTAAGATTTACCACCGATGACGTCACATATGTGTACATCGAGTAACTTGGAAATTGATCATGTCGTGTTAAGTGAATATGGTAAGAAGATTGAAATTTGACGTCACTATCATAGTCTGACGTAATAGAAGGATATAAAAAAACCTTAAGTGAAAATTGCATCATAAATATTTTGTAGTATATTTCAGTTCATTTTCAAAAATGAGTGTGAAAAGAATATTAAAAAAATGGAAGTAACTTCAAAAAGTCTACTTTAACGTGAATTTTAATTTTTGTACTTACGTTTTTACAATAAACTTGATGAGAAAAAGATCCTTAAGAGAGGATTGAGGCTCTCGTAAAGTTACGATAGATTTTGTACTTAGGACTTTCTGAATATTTTTTGTGAAAATGACTATTAATATAAGTTTTTACTAACAAAAAAGATTATGCCGTAAGATTTGTTTTTAAAAAGTCAACAGGTTAAGTTTGATATCTTTCTTACCCTTTGTTTTCATTTGAAGTATCTAAGGGCGTCAAAGCAACAAATCAAACTTAACTGCTCTGCAGCGCTCCGTAATGTAATCAATATTCGCCATTTTTCATGCATTGCACTCACAACTTTTCAATTTCGGAAGCTCCGGAAAATGCAACAAATTAGGCAAATGCCTTTAAATTTTAAGGGAAAAAACAAAACAATAGATATGAGATTTAAAAAAAAGGATAACTTTAACCACATTCTTATAAATTTAATCATCTGTTCTCTAATGAAACTTTGGTTATTTTATCATGCACCGTAGGACCTTACCTTGCACTCATCCATGCATTATAAAATCTTTATCTATTTTTTCTATATTTCCAAAAGAAAAAAAAACACACAAAAAATGTGTTTAGATATAAGTACAATTAAACATATGCTGAAAATTTCATGTAAGTGCAATCATTATTTTCCAAAAAAAAAAAAAAATAGTTATATTGTGCAGTACAACGTATAAGATAAAAATTAAAAATACCCAAGGCAAGACCTTCTCAAAAAAATATAAAATATGAAATCCCTTTCACCAAATGTTCAAAAATTTATGACACCTTTTAAGCTTTTCCGAAGTAGGTAAAGATCAAGAGAAGTTCGATCGATAGTATTGTTCTCCCGCCTCCTTAAAGTGATTTTCTAAAGCTTTACTTATTTGGGAAAACAGAGAGAGATAACTCTGTAATTTTTGTAATTTTTTTTACAATTAAAAAAAACGGAAAACAGTAAAAAAAGTAGAAGTTCAAACAGAAGGGGAGTGGGGCTTATGGTTACAGAAAAAAAGCAAAACTCCTCATTTTTTTTTTCGCCAATGTCGAAGGATTTACAAACCAAACGTTAATGTTTGTCAATTACATATATTTAATATTATGTGTACATGTATAAATATAAAAAAGATTAAACATTTACCCATATCCAGAATATGTTTAAACATGCTTATTCTTTATTTTGCTAGTCGGAATACACATCTTAAATATGAGAGCCATAGCTCCAACTAATCAAAAGTATGGGCAATGGTACAAACATATAAACAGACAGTCAGAGGGACAAACAGAGCAAAGACTATGTACCTCTGCATCTAAATGGACATTCCAATTCATGAGTATCATTGAAAGAATTTTAAAAGGACCATTTATATTTTTAGACAATGAGTTTATTTATAAGTAATATCTTTTCAATGTATTTAAATTCATGTATTGTTGATACAAAATCCAAGTGGGTGTTGTAAGTAAATACATCCCATTCTTGGTTGACAGACCACTGAAAGATTGCTCAACAGCCGATATATTTTTGTACGCATTTTCAAAGAATGACACGTCGTGTTTTTGCTTGCAAAACTATTGCCCTAAGTAACCCAGCACTTAGTAGACTACTTTTGAGGTGGTTTCATAAAATATTCAGAAAATGAAAGCTCTCCTTATCACGTATTGACTAGAATCCTAACAATATAAACTTTAAAATTCAACCCTGTCAGTGAATACAATTGGCAAAAGTACACAACTTATTGTTTGTACCGTTTAAATCTCAGGTAACTTACTTGAAATGCACCATTAACTATGTCCGACAAAAAGATTAGAACTTTTTTATGAAATGGTCTATACATATTTAAATATCTTCCTTTAAATATCTTCATGATGATAGCATTATAAATTCCATGCCTACATACGGAAAATCCCTATCTCTCTCTTATCTTAAAATAGGACCACTGAGTGATCCTTTACATGTAACTCTAGAGGAAGTGTATTTATTCTTTGTTGTGTAAATAATAGGGTGTCGAAATTGATTGACATTTTAATGACTATTCTGTATTTTCCTATTTAAATATTCAATGGTACGCCCCTATTGGTAAATTTCCGACAAATCACCTGAATCTGAGTCACTTTCTAACATTTAAAAATGCGAATATCAAGAAAGATGTCCATATAAATGTTTGCCATCCTAAGACAGGTATGCTATGTTCACGTTTTTCCCTTCTCTTCAAGGGTGTTAACGAAATATTGAATGTCACTTCTAAAACTATGATAAGGTAATGTCAAATAATAAAGCTGAAAGATATTCATGAAAAACTTAAAGTCTTTTGGACATTTACAATCCACTTATCAATTTTATTATTAAAGATCTATATTGACAAATAAATTTAAACTTTGAAATTTTATTCAATATATGTATTCGAATGTGTACTGATAAACATGGTTATAGGTAAAAAGTTCGAATTCCTAAAGAGCAAAGTACCCATCCAAGTATGAAAATAGATTCAAACCATAAGTATTACAATAAATTCCTAACAAGCACCATATTCTTTCTACTGATGACAGCCGACTTGTGTGAGAGTCATGTCCGAAATCAACACAAAGTGAGAAAAAGACAAGGGCAACAGGTATAATAAGTCATTTTAAATTATTATAAAAAAAATTACATCTGTTAAAACAATTGATTTCCATCAATATAATGTATAATTACGTGTACATTTCATACAATGTTTCCTGCTGTTTTTAGAGATTACCATGTACAATGTCCTCTAAGACAATAGTACAAGGAAAGTGCCCAAATGATACGATATCCCGTAATACACGTGCAAAAGAACTTGGTTGTGAAAATATTAATAACTCTTGTAAAGATTCTAGTGACTTTGTCTACCACTGTGTTTTAAATGAATGGGGCAATGGCTCTTTAGAAGTATGTGCGCCATCAACGAAAATTATAGGTTGGTATAACATTGATAATTTCAATCACGACACTTCAAACAGATAATACAGGTAATTATGGGATTTAAGTATGGGATCTGGTCAACGATAAATACGTACAATTCCATTTCATACTTTTTTAAAAGAGAAATAAAATTTATTTTAAACACTATTTCTCACCTCAATTGGTATTTCTATAGATATTCATGTATATATGGCTTTCCTTGCAGGACAATTTTGTGTTGAATATAATTTAGGCGGATCTATAGTTCAGGAACACCACAAAACAAACAGAACCTGTACTTCTTGTCCTTTTGTTTACAACTCAACTGAAAGTTTTCGTTGTAAGTTATCAAGAGAGAAAAAAGAAAGATATTTCATAATAGGAATATAGTATAAGGAGCCAACAAGAACATTTTTGCATTTAAAACAAGTAGTTGAAACTGTTTGTACTTTATTCCCCTATAATATCCTTTATATCAGAGACTTTTTAAAGTTCATTAGCTAATTTAGAATTGAAAAACTAATTCAAGAAATAAAACAAGAGGCCCAGGGGCCACAGCGCTCACCTGAGCACATCGGGCTTGAATTTATCTCCTCCCCCTTCCAGGCGTTCATTATTTGAACAAACTAGAATCTACACTACCTGAAGATGATTCCATATAAATACCCCGGGTATCACTAATCATAGCTTTGAAGAAGATTTGAAAAAAAGATTTTAAAAGGTTTCCCTATATATCCCTATGTAAAACTTGGGTCGGCCATTTCGGCCTCACCCTATCCCCAGGGCCGGGGGTCATGATTTGAAAAACTTGAGTCTACACTACCTGAGGATGGCTTCCCTATCAGTTTCATCTTTCCTGGCCCAGTGGTAATTGAGAAGGTTTTTTAAAGATATTTCCTATATATTCCTATGTAAAACTTGGGTCGGCCATTTTGGCCCCATCCTTGCCCCAGGGGTCATGATTTGAACAAACTTGAATCTACACTACCTAAGGATGATTCCACAAGAGTTTCATCTTTCCTGGCCCAGTGGTTCTGGAGAAGAAGATTTTTAAAGATGTTTCCTATATATTCCTATGTAAAACTTTGGTCGTCCATTTTGGCCCCATTCTTGCCCCTGGGGTCATGATTTGAACAAACTTGAATCTACACTACCTGAGGATGCTTCCACGAGTTTCATCTTTCCTGGCCCAGTGGTTTTGGAGAAGAAGATTTTTTTAAAGATCTTTCTTATATATTTCTATGAAAAACTTAGGTCAGCCATTTTGGCCTCACCCTTGCCCCAGGGGTCATGATTTGTACAAACTTGAATCTACACTACCTGAGGATGATTCCACATGAGTTTAATCTTTCCTGTTCTAGTGGTTCTTGAGATGAAGATTTTTAAAGATTTTTCTTATATATTCCTATGTAAAATTAGGGTCGGCCATTTTGGCCCCATCCTTGCCCCAGGGGTCATGATTTGAACAAACCTGAATCTACACTACCTAAGGATGATTCCACATGAGTTTCATCTCTCCTGGCCCAGTGGTTCTGGAGAAGATGATTTTTAAAAGATTTTTCCTATATATTCCTATGTAAAACTTGGGTCGGCCATTTTGGCCCCACCCTTGCCCCGGGGGTCATGATTTGAACAAACTGAAATCTACACTACCTGAGGATGATTCCACTTGAGTTTCATTTTTCCTAGTCCAGTGGTTCTGGAGAAGAAGATTTTTAAAGATTTTTTCTATATATCCCTATGTTAAATTTGGGTCGGCCATTTTGGTCCCACCCTTGCCCCGGGGGTCATGATTTGAACAAACTTGAATCTACACTACCTGAGGATGCTTCCACATGAGTTTCATCTTTCCTGTCCTAGTGGTTCTTGAGAAGATTTTTTAAGATTTTTCCTATATATTCCTATGTAAAACTTGGGTCAGCCATTTTGGCCCCACCCTTGCCCCTGGGGTCATGATTTGAACAAACTTGAATCTACACTACCTGAGGATGATTCCACATGAGTTTCATCTTTCCTAGCCCAGTGGTTCTGGAGAAGAAGAATTTTAAAGATTTTTCCTATATATTTCTATGTAAAATTTGGGTCGGCCATTTTGGCCCTATCCTTGCCCCGGGGGTCATGATTTGAATAAACTTGAATCTACACTACCTGAGGATGCTTCCACATGAGTTTCATCTTTCCTGGCCTAGCGGTTCTGGAGAAGAAGATTTTTTTAAAAATGCCATTAATTTTTAACAAATTCATGATTATCTCCCCTTGGAAAAGGGCGTGGCCCTTCATTTGAACAAACGTGAATCCCCTTCACCCAAGGATACTTTGTGCCAAGTTTGGTTGAAATTGGCCCAGTGGTTCTTGAGAAGAAGATGAAAATGTGAAAAGTTTACGACAACGACGACGACGACAACGACGATAACGACGACAACGACAACAGACAACGGACAAATTTTGATCAGAAAAACTCACTTGAGCCTTCGGCTCAGGTGAGCTAAAAATCTTTAAAGTGTTTGAATGAAACAAGGAATTAGAAAATAACTTTATTTATCGAGCTTCCAAATGACAAAAAATCAACATTATAGTTTATTTTAATAATCATCTTCGTTTATGTATTAATAGATATTTATATCCTATAAAATTATCAAATGTACGCCGACAGAATATCACTTTTATAAATTTCTTTTTTTTTTAGTTCTGAGTTTAAAGACAAATTATCTTTTGAAATCTCTTTACCACTCATAATTGAATGTAATATTCCAATAAACAAAAACTCGTGTGACTTTTCACGTGCTAAATTCTAATTTTTTTTTTCAAGACAGTGAATGCTTCAAAGGACTTTCATCAATGCCAACAGGTTCAACAAAACAAAGTTATCTTCCTTTGTCAATAGATCAATGGATCGGGTAAGGGTAATTTAGCGTTATTTAAAAAAAATGCTTTAAATGTTTGAAAAAAATAATGCCTAAAATTACCATTTATCTTCAAAGACCCGTAGTTTTACTGGGACTCATTCTCCTTATCGCTGCAACAACCTTTTGTGTGCTGAAGAAAAGAATTACATCCAATGGACAACACATTTCACTGTCAGTGATTAAAGACAGGCAGAATGCATGATTAGGAATTTCCTTGAAATTTATAGGAGACGAAGAAAAGCGTTTTGAAAACGAAACGAACGATCCGTTTCAAAAAACGTTGAATATTAACACGTAATATGACATTATGAATCCTTTACAAAAAAAATCATCAACGCTTACATTTTATTGTCTGTACTGTCAATTTGAAAAACCAAAGAATGTGAAACATAGGATACGTACAGACTGTTCCTTGCCACACAGGAATTTATACACCATAAAATATACATCATTCCATAGACTCTATTTTCCCGTCATATACAAGAAGGATATAACTGATAACTTCCTACCAAACCTAAATGTCATCACCTGTTGAGGAGGAGATTGTATCATTGTACCTACAGTTACCTCTTTCTAGCTTAGAGAAAAGAGGAGATAGACATTATCCAGTATGTTTTGTATTTCAATGCAAAGTGTCAGCAATTTGCAATATTGTTGAGTGACAACCATTTTTTTATTGGTTTTATACAAGAATGTATATTATATTGTTTTTCTACAACTGTTTATTAAATGGGTACTTTATTTACTAGTATTAATATATTTTGCATTTATGTGTACGAATATTTTTCTTCGACCTCTCCTATTGTTTTTTATACGAATGATATATTATCTAACATGCATTTGGTAAATCATTATTGTGTACTTTGAAAGCCCAGAGATTTTGTCTTGTGATTTTATCACTTACTGACATTTACATTTTTTTAAATTTATAATTAATATAAATATCACATCATTTATTTGTCCTTTACATAACTCGCTCTTATTCTAAGTATGAAGATAAAATGACTTGCATAATCTTTTAAATTATATTTACATGAATTACATGTGAATCCTTGGCGTGTAGAAGTTGGGAAATAAAGAAACAAATAAAACATGTGAAATTTACGTGAAAATTTGATAGGATTTGACACAACTTTCATATAAATTTCACATGAAAAGCTTAAAACATGCGATGAATGACAGATTAATTCAGATGAATATCAAAGTTCTTAAAAAAATATGTAAATATAATTCACACCAATTCATATGAAATTCGAATGAGGAACGAAATAATATATTTTTTACATGATTTCCGAACAATTATAAACTAAAAAAGAAAAAAAATTACATGCATTCCATGTGAGCGAATTACCCTTTCTTAAGCAAATGAAACGTATAAAACAAATCTCCTAGAGTGGAAATACGACATGCATTGCTGCATATAAGTATGAGAGATTTTCACTCACAAGGATTCACAAACAATAATTTTTTGTGATTTCGACAATTTGTTTTATTAATGATTGAAACACGCCTCTTCACAATGGTATTTCTTTCCTGTAGATTGAAGATGCTGTTATATTACAGCAAACCAGCAGAAAGATAATGCCATCGGCAGCTACAAATGAAGAAGATCGTGAGTATCTTCTTATTTCAATATCTAACTATGAATGATACTGAGATTAACGAAACAAATCAAACGTTTATTGTGCACGGAAGACATTGGTCGTAATATAATTTCTTACATTTATTAGATGAATATTATATGTAGTACCTGCTATACACATGTTTTCTTTCTAATTTTGGAGAAAATCATTCTCTCTTTCTCTCCAACAAAAAATACACAGCTATGTTATTTGGGTTCAATCATTTCAAATCACTGTAAAATTCATCGATTGTCTTGCTTTGTAACTAAAATAAATACATATGATATCAGGAATATCTTCAATACGAATTGATAACGGTGTAACAGATTTCTCTCCGATGAAATTAGGGGTTGAAACAACGGATAAATTTGGACTTTAACTTTTTCAATTAAATTCTCATGAACAATTTTCTATTTTATATCCTAAAATTAATTGACCCTGTTTGCATAACTTGATATTAAGGAAAATATTTAACGGAGTTTACTTCCAATTTTGCAAAAAAAAAAAGAAATATTCCAAAAATTGGTGTCTCACCCTGAATTCACTCATTAGAAGCAATAATATTCTTTTTAACAAAGAAAGCAGGCATACCAGAGTTATTATGAAATAAAAAGTTATTACAGAAATCTAGATATATAGAACTAGATGTTTCGGGAATTTTTTCTTTTAACTCAAAGTGATCAATAAAAAGCAGCTCAAAAACACATTTCAAGAGACTGAAGATTTTTTGTACATATACATGTGCCAACACAGCCTTTCTAAATGATGTTGATTTCACAATTAAATGTTTTCATCATATAGATTCGAGATAGGAATCATTCATTCAAATCGAGTAAATTTGGACGAAATGGGGGATAATTTCTCTGGATCCGACACACTCACAAAATTTCATTAATTTGTGAAACTCGGTGATCTTTCTTCTGAACGTAAATAATAACCCCCTCTTAAATTAGCACTTATTACGAGTATTTTCCCACTTCATCTTGACACAAAAAAATACATAATAAGATGTTGGCAAAGGCCTGGAAAAAGAGCTTGAAAGAAAAATGAATTTTCCTTACTCACAAATCCCTGGAAACATGATACTGGTAGCAATCTATAATAATAATAGATCACAACACTTTATTTTTTAATATTTTTATAGGGGATATTTAAACAATATGAACAAGGAAGAATTATGCAATTTACACAATTTTGAAGGACTTCCTTATTAAATTAGTTATTTTCAATTTAATTTTGTTTTTCTATTTTTAAATCATTTGTGTATTATTTAATTGCTGAGCTGTGTTAGATAATATGAAAACCAATGCTATAAAGTTGCAAATGTTGAGGTTAACAGGCACTGTACACGTACTGTTAAACCTTTTTGTATATTAATTCGAATTATTCATCACCTTTGCCTAACATACAGTACACTATGTGAAGTATTATATATGTTATGATGTATATGCTGTAACATGTCTTGTCCCCATTTTTGCAAACAATTCATGCTTATTTGCATTTATGCTACATTAACACCTCGTACGTGTATATGTATGTCCCAAATCGGAACAAAATTCGCAAAAAAAAAAAAATTATATTCACTAAACATCGACCATGATGCCTAAAATTATATTTATATCTTTAAATTGAATGAAAAATACCTCGACGTTAAATCTGCGAATTTCACATTCTAGCTTATAAAAAAATATTCCTTTGCATGTTTCTGACAAATCAGAATGTACTATCAAAACAAAAAAAATGTGAAGCCAGCCATAAGCATATAGATAGAAATTAAAAATTATTTAACAAGGGGAGATCACGTGACAATTGACCATAGTTGTCATGCTTTGCTAGTGGGAAGAAAAAATAGATCAAAATCGGAGTTAAAAGTTTCAAAGTGCCGAAAAAAGGGTCAACAGTTTATCATTAACATTTAGTGGAGGTCTTGAAGCTTTTTGTGTAAGTATCTGATTATTTGGAACTTTTGGTAAATTACTGTGCACCACTGTGTATACAATGTCCAGTCGTGAGTTGAAATCACAGAAAAGAAAGCCGGAGTCAAAGTCTAAGGGAACTGAGAAAATGCCGATCCCCTCCACTAACTTTGGAACTTTAACTCCATTTAGTGTACCGTTTGCTCCTTGCCCTGAGCAAATAGCGGACCCTTTTAAAACTTTAGCAAGTTTATCACAAGCCGTGGGGGACATTAAGGCTGATCTATGGGAACAGGACGGGTTTGAAGACAAGATACAATTCATTGCACAACAGCAGGAAGACAATATAACAGAGATAGACAGTCTAAAATCTAAAAATGCATCCCTACGTAAGGATCTTGAAATGTTAAAATCGGTTGTAATCAGACTTGATAGAAGAGTCACAGAACAAGAGAAGGAAATTATTGATCTGAAAGGGCAATCCTGGAAAGAAGAAGAAGGAGAAGATCTATTCAGCGAAATTCCTTGCCTGCTAAACGAGAGTTATGGGGGACAAATTGGTTTTCCCGAATGGGTCTGTTTACAGAGATAAAATGAAGACACCAAACGCCGAGGAAATTCTACAACTTGACCAGAAAGAACAACAGAAACTAGAGGAAATTGAAGTTAAACACTTTAACACTCACACAGAATCAGGAAACCAAATTAGCGCTGCTGCAGTTGAGGTAGAGACATATGCAAAAGTTCGGAACTTCTACAGGAAAATTTCCATGGATCCGGTTTATGGGCGTGCAAATCACAATATACTTGTATACCGTTTTAAAGACAATTCTGGGACTATACATGACGGATATTGTGACGACGGCGAATTTGGAGCTGGAAGGAAAATGCTAAAAATTCTGCAAGATGAAAACTTGACAAATGTATCAGTTGTGATATCGCGCATGATGGGAAAACATCTTGGTCCGAAACGCTTCGACATAATAAAGAAAGCGTTATTTGACGCCCTCAAAGAACTTCGATAGGCTTAAAGAGTGTCCTGTAACGCAATTTTTCTTTTCTTGAACATTTTGTGGTTTAACTAGTTTTTTTGCTTTTTTTCTCTTTCCAGGATTGAATAGCTCTGTTCTGAACAGGTTTCTTTTTTTGTATTATATATTCCGGAAAAAAAAGTTTATATTCGTTTTTGATTTTTCAATTACCGACCAAAGAAGTATGTCCGGTATTACATCGGCACAGAATTTAAGATAAACAAAATAAAAATGAACACTCCGACTATTGATCTATTAAACTCTTTCAACTATGCATTTGTAATTTATGCAGAGAGTTTGTTTCGTACAGGTACATACCCTTTTCTTTTGTTTCTATATTCATTTTTCAGTTTTTTTTTTTAATTTTTGAGTGAGTGTGAAAGTGTGTCTGTGACTGTGAGAGAATACAACAATCATGTTGTCGAAAATTTCGTTTGGAGGTTGCTTACATTTTACAAATCAGTTTTTGTTGGTGAACGATAATATAAAAATCGTAACGGTGAACTGCCAAGGTCTAGCGACAACTCAGAAACGACAAGATGTCCTTAACTATTACAGAAAAAAGGGTTACTCTATTTTATGTCTGCAAGATACACATTTTACCTATGAAACAGAACAATTTGTAGAAGCTCAGTTGGGTTAAAAGTGCAATTTTAGTTCATGTAAATCGAATTAACGAGGAGTAGGTATTCTTTTTAACAATAATTTTAAATTTAAAGTCCACAGAGATAAGAGAGATAAGGAAGGGAATTTAGTAGCTCTTGATATTACCATTGAAGACAATAGGCTTACCCTGGTAAATGTATATGGACCGAATATTGACTGTCCAGAATTTTATGAAAAGGTTAGAGATATTTTTCTAAAATTTGACAATGAATATTTTGTACTATGCGGTGACTTAAATCTTGCTCTTAATCAAGAAATAGATACATACAACTATGCTAATGTAAATAATCCAATGGCTCGTGAAAAATTGATAGCAATTATGGAAGATTTACAAATGATTGACTATTAAAGGATTTTGATTCCAGAAAAAAAAGTGTTCACATGGAGGAAAAAAAAACCCTGTCAAACAAGGCCGATTAGACTATATTTTAATATCTAAAGGTTTATCTAATCTTGTTGAAGAATTTACTATTGAACCGGGGTACAGATCTGATCATTCTATAGTTGTTCTAGAATCAAAATTAATATCCCTTCAATAAAGGTCGTGGCCTATGGAAGTTTTAATAATAGTTTACTGAATGACGCAGTGTATGTCGAAAAAGTGAAGCAAACTAAACATAAAGTCAGATGTCAATATTTACAAAACATAGATTATATTGAAAATAGTGCTATTTTTGTTGAGAATATGGATGACTCTATATTCCTTGAAATTCTTCTTATGGAAATACGAGGAATATCTATTTCATATTCTTCATTTAAGAAAAGAGAGAGAGAAAAGTTGGAGAAATCCCTTGTAGAAGAAATAGAGAGATTAGAAACAAGTAATGAAAATAATACAGATATTTTGGAAGAAAAAAAGAATCCCTTGAAAATTTAAAAAAAGTTAAAATGCAAGGCCATTTAATTAGATCCCGTGCTAGATTGGTAGAAGAGGGTGAAAAGCCAACAAAATATTTTTGTAATTTAGAATTATTAAAAGGGTTGAAATTGATGAACATTACACTGTTTATGATCAATTTGAAATTCTAAACCAAGTTAAATCTTTTTATGAAGAACTGTATTCAAATAAAGATTCAGAATGTATTGACATGGATCTGAATGATATTATTGACCCAGCGGAAGTTAAAAAACTTGACGAGATGACTTCTAATAGTCTTGAGAAAGGTATTGAAGAAAGTGAACTTTTAGATGTTCTTAAGAGTATGAAAATAACAAGTCTCCAGGGAGTGATGGTTTTACGGCTGAATTTTTCAAATTTTTCTGGATAGATTTGAAAAGTTATATTTTAAATGCAATTAAATGCATTTTTTTCAAAGAAAGAACTTCCAATTTCTCAGAGACTCGGGATTATTTCTTGTATACCCAAAGGTGATAAACCAAGACAGTTCTTAAAAAATTGGCGCCCAATTACTTTACTAAATGTCCTTCATAAACTTATATCTGGATGTTTAAGTTGTAGAATAAAGTCGACTCTAGAATATCTTATTTCTGATACACAAACAGGTTTCATTAAAGGTAGATTTATAGGGGAAAATACAAGATTTATTTATGACTTAATGTCTTATACAGAGTCAAATTATATTCCTGGTCTGTTGATGCTATTAGACTTTGAGAAAGCATTTGACTCAATTTCATGGACCTTTCTTTATAAAGTTCTGAAGTATTTTGGTTTTGGAAACAACATTATTGAATGAATTAAAATCCTAAATACTAATTTTAAAGCTTCAGTTTTACAATGTGGTTTTTTATCAGAACATTTTTTTATTCAGAGGGGTTGTAGATCCTGTTGCTCCCTACTTGTTCCTCCTTTGTGCTAAAATCCTTTCTATTCTTATTAAACAAAACAGAGATATAAAAGGTATATTAGTAAAAGAAAAAGAACACAAAATCTCTCAATATGCAAATGATACCTTGCTTGCCCTTGACGGTTCACCAAAATCTCTGTTTGCTGCTCTTGATACATTGAATTTATTTTCACAATTATCTGGTTTAAAGATACATGTTAATAGTTCTAAGACAAAAATTAATTGGATTGGCTAAAAAAAATTTTTAAATCAAGTTTTTCATCATTCAAGATGGAAACTAGATTGGGGATCAACAACTTTTACTTTGCTTGGTATAACTTTTTCTGTAGAGCTACAAAATATTATTGACATAAATTACAAACTTGTTTTACCAAAAATTAAATTAATGATCCAACATTGGAAAAGGCGAATACTTACACCAATCGGTCGTGTCACCATTGTAAAAACGCTGATTTTACCAAAACTTACTCATTTATTTATTTCTCTTCCTACCCCTAGCTATGACATAATATCTTCATTATGTAAGGACCTTTTTGAATTTTTATGGAAATCAAAAAGTGATAGAGTAAAAAGAGATATAGTTACTCAAGATTATTTATCTGGAGAATTAAAAATGTTAAATGTTGATTACTTCATAAAATCACTGAAATGTACATGGGTCAAAAGATTGGTATCAGAAAGTAATAAGCCATGGCTGGACATATTTTTAGGAATAAATGGTTGAGATGTTGTAAACAAATTTATGGATTTTGGTGATGCTTATATTTTAAATAGTCTAATACCTCATAATAATATTTTCTGGTTTGATGTTTTAATTTCATGGCAACATGTTTTGAAGAATGTTGATCAGGATGTAGAAATGAAATGCAAGGCTTGCAATATTCCTGTATGGTATAATTCAAATATTAAGGTAGAAAATAAAAGTATGTTTACAGAAAATTGGTATAAAAGTGGAGTTAAAAATATTAGGGATTTTTTGTCAGAAGATTGCAATTTTTTATCAAAATCCGCCTTCCAAGAAAAGTTCAGTATTTCCAATGTATGCGTAATGCAGTATAATAGCACTATTTCTGCTATTTCTAAATTTTTTAAGAATATGTCAATAGATAGAATGAACTTGAGAAAACATTGTCAGCCTAATTTACCTTTTTATTTTGAAAATATTTTTCATTGTGAAAAATGTACAAAAAGAATTTTCAACTATATAAACAAAAATGATATAATTCCTACAGCAATTCCAAAGTGGAATCAAGACTTATCTCCCTTTGGAGTGACAGATATATGTATAAAAGATGTTTTTAAAGTTTGCTTTAAGACTACTTCTGATTCTTCTGTACAGTAGTTACAATATAGAATTTTACATAGGATCCTCCCTGTAGATTCTTATCTTAAGAAAATCGATATAAAAACTACTGATGTTTGTAAGTTTTGTGCCCAAGAAACTGAAATTGTACTGCATGTATTTGTTCATTGTGACCATATTATATCATTATGGAGGAACTTGAGTTTACATATATACAGAACAATTTCAAAAAGAATTGCATTTTATGTTAAAATATTATCTTAGGTGAATTACCACTTACAAATGATAATAGAATTGAAAATTTTATGATATTATACACAAAACAATATATTTTTTCATGTTTATTGCAACCAAAAATACCTTCACTTTTTGGTTTACTAAGCTATTTGAAAATGAAATACAATATTGAAAGATGCATATCCATCAACAATTCAAATCTACTTTATTTTGAAGAACAATGGATTTTTTGGAAAAATATATTTGAACAAATGTAAGATTACACATCTGTATGTTAGATGTTTGCTTAAATTAGGTTGCATGATAGAGACAACTGATTATTATAAAGCAACCTTCATATTAATTTAAAATGTAAATGGATGTATGAATGGGTGTGTGAGTGTTAAATATCCATTGTAATTTTGCTGTTATTGCTTAAAGCACAGAGTTTTACAACTTTAATTGTTTTAAACAATACCTTGTTCGTTAGTTATCTCTTTTATTGTAAGCAAGTTAACTACAAAGTACAAACTGTACCTCGGAGTCGTTGCCACGTTCTCATAAATACAAATTTTACCGATAAAAAAGAAAAACATACATGCACTACGAGGTAGAGCCACGTTGGGCCTTATTTGGCCCTGAGAATTTCTGAAAATTCAAAACTGCTTATTTTAGGTTGCAAATGCAGTATTTGTCACTTGGACTGTTGGTGACCACGTATCTTTTAATTGTGACGAAATTTCACATCTAGTCAATGCATTATGACGTCATAAAATGCGTCATTTTCCTCATATCCTGTAAATTCCTTTGAAAATGACCTAAAATTGAAGAGTTTATTTCAATATTTCATATAGAGCACAACTTCTGATCCAAAATATCCCAAAACATAATGAAAAGCCTATATCTGGAGATCAAAAAACATGTTTTATTTTTTGGATCGTGAGCTGTGCTCATATTTTAATTCTTTGCTGAAGGTAGTCAAACACGCATATTTTCTGCAAATT